GTAGGTCTCTAGGAGGCGACGCTGGAGCTCGCGCCAAGATGTCAGAACATCATCCCTGTTCAAAAACTACGTCTTGGCACCGTCTTTTAGGCAAGTGTACACGTTTCGGAGCTTCGCGGCATCATCCGAGTAATTTATCGCTGCGACACGTTCGAACTCACTGAGCCAGTCGTCAACATCTTCATGCTGCTCTCCGTGAAAGGGGCTAGGCATGATCGGGTTCTGGACGGTGCAGTAGATCGGTGTGGAAGGTGTGTGGGAGCTTGCATGGGATCTTGTGTCGAAGTCATCGTCGCTGCGTCAGTGGTTGGTGTCTCAGGCGGTAGGCCTCGTTGGCAGCGGCTTACTCTATGAACAGGAGTGTCCACGGGTGCAGGGCTTGTGTTCCGGCTGCTGGACGGGGTCTTGGGCATCGGGTGGATTGTGAGACGTTGTACCCAGCAACTCCACCAGTCTTGTCACGTTACTCTCGACAAACTTGATAAAAGTGGGCTCGTTTAGTCGACCACTCAAGCAGTGGCTCAGAGAGATTGTCTTTGTCTTCTTTCACTCTTCGATCTCACCCAAGCAAACCATGTGGCAATATCAAAACTCCTCTTCCATTTCTCTTCCAAGCGAATTTCCAGAGGAATATCAGCAAGGGTGCTGAATATCAGCAAGGGTGCCCTTGCTGATCTTCCCCTCGGGCTGACAGACCACAATATTTACTGAGACTTGCATGCAGTGAATGCACAGTGCTTGCAAAAGACACAACGTAAAAAGTGTTTGCACCTGGAATATAGATCCACAATAGTGCAGTGCATCCCGGATGAAAGTAAACAAAAAAATTTTTATAAGGCGATTTGTTATATTATTATCGTATGCATTGATAATATATTCACAGGTAGTTTACCACTCACCATACGTGGATTCCATACATGCGGTTTATATACATATTGCGCTGTTCATGCGATATCGTAGGCTTATGCGAATACTCGAGCACGACAAATGTTCAGATGAATATTAATACATTTGAATTATTTTGATTCCAATATAAATGATTGAAAATTAGGTGTCCGAAATTACGTGCAACACATAGGTGCATGTCCTCCCCTTCAAAATGTAGTTTCACTGCTGTATAAAAGTGCTATGCCATGAAAACATTGCAGGAATAATTTGCACTGCTGCAAAGCTGTACTTTTATAGGTTAAATTGACATATTGCCCTCGAATCAATTTTTCGTTTTCAACTTTAAAAGATTGTTATGCTGGCTTATATGCTCCAAGTATAACAAATCTTAAAATTTAACATATTTTACTAGTTATCACTTGCATTCTGCAGAAAGTCGAATTATGCTAGCACTATTCAAAGGTAATTGCACTTTCTTTGAACCAAAAAGACAGACATTTGCACGCGCCTTGTTTCACTTGAAAATAATAATGTTCAAATTGGTCGGTAGACGATGAACATGACCATTTTTTATAATATGTGGAATACACTATTCGAATTTGATTTCAAAATATTACAGCTAAATTACTTTTCACTTTGAACCTAAAATTCACTACTCGCAGAAGCCTACAATGATGTGTGAATTTGTAAGTAGAGTATAACGGGGCTTGTTTTTTTGACCTGTACAGATGTTCAAGCTGTGAAAATGAATATACACATCTGTTTTTGTTTACCCAGTACTTAACTGTGTACTCGATTCGCTATGCTGTTTTTTAACCTGTAATGTACTGCAACTGACTGCGTGGAATATTTAAAAAAACATGGTTGTGCATGCTTTGCTTGAACTTCACTGTTTCTTCAGCAGTTAAGTGAAAGCAGCTGCTGGTACTGGTCAGTAAACATTGCGATTCTGCTAGCTGGTCAAATGTTGTAGCATGTCACTGTGGAAAGCACATCTTTCTGCGCCATGCATTGCCCCAGATAACAGTGTCATTTTAAGATCAGCACGTAGATTACAGTGAAGCAATAAAACGCCTCCTGTGGTAACATAGCCTGATATTTCTCAGCCAAGCTCATAGCATTCACTATGCTTTCTACAAAGAGTGAGACAGTGCATAGCCTTGACGGGAAGGGTGCATACATACTACTACTTGCCAAATAAACTCTGAACATCCAGTCATTCTGAACATATACAGGTGGAATTTATTTTGCCAATCGCACGATGTCTTATGCTTTACCTGAAAATAAACACAAGAAACAGAAAATATTAGGACACGTCCACTAATAAAAGAAGGCAATCTTTGCCAAAACAAAATACATCTACCTAGCAATAACAAATGAAACAAAAAGTGGCTCTAATGCATCGACAGTACAACCAAACTCCTCAAAGCATAAAAGACATGTATACCTAAGATGTCTGGACGAGTGAACAAAATCATCATTCAAAACAAAGAAGCTGATTGACTTCTGCGTGGATGCCAAAAAAGGGAGACACTGAAGTGTGGCCACGTTAAGCATGATTGCTAGACTGTCCTTTAGAGATCATAAATATGTAACTCCTAAAAGTACTTACAAAAACTTTACTTTCTGTTTTTTCTGTGGCAATAAGTACGGTAAATCCTCGTAATAACGAAGTCAGGGAGACGGAGAAAAATTTCGATATAAGCAGTGATTCGATATACGCAACTTCCTGATGAAAGGTAAGCAACTACAGCCACATTAGCTATGACAACTTCCCAGAAGTGGTATCACGTGAAACATATCTTTATTCATACACATAAAACTCATTCAGCTATCTTTGTCGTGTGCTTTGGCTGGGCGCGAGGATTGCCTGCTTGAGTTTGTTGAGGCAAATTATGAGGTCATGGTCACCGCTTGAGCCCTACACTCTATTTTGTAACATAACGAGGCTCTTTTGCGTTTGTGCCATTGTTGGTATAACACGGAGCTGTAAGTCAAGCGGCACATTTTCCGCATCCGGGCCTCCAAGCAAGTTGAATATTTCGGCCCAGCTAGTCGACTGGGGCTTTGCTGCCTTTCCCAGTATCAGCAAAGGAAGTTTGTCCTCCCCTATCTTGTTAGCAGCTAACAGCACTGTAATGCGTTCTTCGCTTTGTTTACATCCTGATAAAGTTTCGCCATGAGTAGGGTGCACGCGCTTTTGAAATAGTTTGTAAAAGAACGCAGCCTCGTCCAAGTTGTAAATGTCTATCTGCGTACTGCTGAAGTAGGGCACTCACCCGACGCTTGCGTCATCCATCGACGACATCATGGTCCATGGCTGCACCTTCACCAATCATCAGTTTTATGACACATCGTGCCATGTTTTGAAATGTTCAAGCCAACCCTCACTGCACTTTAAATCTTGCTTGCCTATTCGGGTCTCTAGGGCTTTGGATTCTGCAGTCTATACAGATCCATTTACACAAAGGTTTGTACTTCTAATGCTTTTCAACTATTCGAGAAGCACTCTTTGCACTTCCGAATACATATAATCATGGTTGCGCTTTCATTTCCTGAGAACTTCTCAAAGCTTTCCAGTACAGGATCTTTAATCTTTAGAACAGTTGATAGTGTTGCGGTGGTATTTCGAACTGTTTTGCGATTTTAGACCTTTGCCGGCCGTTTTTGTTTCACCTGACGTATCAGTTGAACTTTCTGCTCCAATGTCAGACACTTCCGAAACGGGCACTGGCGTTGCCAGTTTTACTCGACTTAATTGCTCAATGTGTTAGATCAAAAACAGGCAGCTTGATTCTGCCAAACTTTGTCTTACTGTACAATCAATGTTTTGAACATTTTAGAGCATAACGCCTGCCAGATGGTGCTGTTAAGCTGCACAGACCCCAGCTTCTGAAGATTCAGAAAATCCAGGCTCAAGAATGAATCTGCGACTGAAGAGGCTTCATTTTTTATAATAGAGGCATGACTTAACTTTCCACAAAACAATTCGGAAAATTATTCCAGTACTCACTAGACATGCAAGGTGTCAGAAGCTTTTCACATTCTGTGTCTTAGTACTAAACTACGTGAAGTGTAATCCAGGCAATAAATCAAAAACAAAACCAGTGCTGACAATACAGTGGATCCCCAATTATAGGACTTTCAGGGGATCACTCAAAACTGTCCTATAATCCGGATGTCGTGAAACCGGAAAACGAAGAATACCGAGCGTGACACTGCACCTTGTTGAAAAAGAAAAAAGGCCACAGATTGACTGAACAAGCCTACGGCATGACCTTGTAGCTGTGCAAGAAAGGTGCATGAAAGCAGTCTTGCCAGTTGGAGCTAACGACATCATTACTAAGTTGAAGAAGGTGCAAGCAAATCATTATTCTCAACCGTAAAATATATAAAATCCAGCGCGTATCTTTCTATCTATAGAGTCCAAGACTTGCCTGCACATGAAAATAAAACTGAAACGGGGTTGCTGCTTCCCGTCAGAAGAGTCAGGCAGAGTGTCAACTCTGTCAAATAATGGTGACGGACCAAGAGTTTTAGTAGAAATTTCATCTGCTGAGAAAATCTGCTGTTTTGCTGTATTGAATCTGTAGTTAATTTACACATAGTCTCGTTTTGCAACATATGGTAGTAATCACTCTACACTAATTTCCGCAAAAAGCGATGAAACCAGAGGGCTCCCAGTTGAAATCATTATCTTGCACATTGAGTTGTTCGAATTATCAGGAGTCTTTCCCCATAGAATATTACACAGGGCTGTGCCGGGACTGGGGCATCAGTTCTAATTCGACAAAAGTTTGAATAAACAAGCTTTTATTGTATGAATCTTAATAACACTCTGCTTTTGTGCAACGTGAGGGGTGGCACACCGGGCGAATCCGAAAATATTTGCTTTCTTTTCATAAAGGGCTACTTGTGCAAAACATTGTCTTCTTTCAATAAACATTTCTTATAATAGATCTCCTCACATTTCTGAATAACCTTGAATTATTCATGCAAACCATATTAAATAACAAAGTATACACGCACAATAACACTACAGGAGATCAGCAAGTAACACCATCAAAAGTCGACTTACAACATGAGTTGTTCAGCGCAACTGCAGCACCAACTTCATTATACTGTTGTCCACAATGATCCTTGATATGAGCCATTAGACAATTTACTGCTCCTTTCCGGGTTTCCGTTGAACATCTTCCTAGAAAGCATGTAAATAAGTCAGCTGGTGATTTAGTTTGGTTTCTCGTAACATCAGTTCATACAATATGAAGTCACTATCGCATTTCTTTCTGGTTTTGTAGCACATCTCAAAGATGCTTTATTTTTTATTTTGAAGTGCTCATAATTTGTTATTTATAAAGATTATTATGCAATACTTAAAGTGTATGGTGCTATCTGCCAAGGCCATAAGCTCCATGCATGGGCACAAAATTGAAACCAGTTGCATGTAACTGCATCTCAGAAGCTAGCTGCTGATTTTTTTCTTTTCGTTTTGCAATAACTTGCCTACAATTTGTGCACTATTCAGGTCATGAGGCAAGTGAGAGAATACCGAGAACAAGGTAACTTTGATTTTATTACCATATTATAGTCGAAAGATGTGGTGAGACTGCATGAAGAAAGAAGCTTAGCAAAAACTAGGTTTCTTTGTCTAAGCTTTCTTTTTTGTGTATCATACCACTGCACAGTTAAACTATAATGAATATTTACCAGCTTTCTCAATTTGCCATGCTGATTAGTAGTAGACAGCGGTAGTTGTTTATAGAAATAACATAATAGAGACCCCTGGCAATAAAGTATGATGACGTTGAGTACAGTTACCTCAAATTAAACAGAAATGGTACACAGAACTAACGCTTAAATGGAACAACTGCATGTAAAATGATTGGTGTCGAACTAAGCCTTCAACCTGGTTGATATCAGTAAATGTAACTCCTACTCTATATAACATTTTTTTCTGGTTCCTTCAGGTTCTTTTTAACATAGGCCTACTATATTCTTGCCTTAATAAAGTTTGTGGCTCATATTACCACTTTTATTTATATCGTTCAAAATACAGGTATACAATGGAGTATTACTTGACTACCCACAAACGCAAAGAAGTCCCTACAAAACCAAGCTTTACAGACAAAAGCAACAAATCAGCATTTTTCTTTTCACCACAAGAAATTTCAAGCAGTGCCTAGCGCGGGAATATATTCATTACGAGCTAAAATTATTTAAATGGTGAAATGTGATCAACAGCACTTCTTCAAGTGGCAACTAACCAAAATTTGTAGTCATGCATTATCAGACACAAAAAATTGTATAATGCCCATAAAAATTTTCTTGGCCCTAATGTCTGTTGAATTTACTTCATTCCGTCTCAGAAAAAGTGAGCTTCTCCAAAAAATTCCCTTCATTTGATGTTTTCCATAAATGACTTGAAGCAGCACAAAAAAAAAACAAAAATGAGGACAATAAAACCACACACCCAACAGGACTAGCGCTAAACTGCCAACTGAATCGTTACTGAAAATTGATCCCTTATGCCTACATCAGAACAACGCCTCGTCACAAAAAATTTCCAACATTATTCAACGATGGAAGGCATAGGTATTGTTGTACTACCAGGTGGTTTTGAACAAAACATCTAATATAATCATCTGGTAGTGACAGATTTATCTTCAGCTTTAGCAAGATATTAGGCTTCCTCCTTATCAGTTTTCACAATTTCAAGGGTTACATGTCCCAAATTCTCAATATGTTTGTGAGAGACACTTTAGTGTAGTGCTGCAGAAATTTGAGCCACCTGAGGTTGTTTAGTAGGCCCTTAAATCTAATCAAATGAGCCTCCAGCATTATCGTCTCCATTTAAAATATGGCTTCCATGGCTGGGATTGGATCTCACGACCTGTAGGTCAGCAGTATAGCACCATAACCACTAGACCACTGTGGTGGATCAAGACACCGAGACTGATTTCATCATCAGCACATCTCACCTCTGAAGAAAGTCCTGTGTAGTCGTGACAGGGTCAGCATATGCTAAGTTGAAAATGTAGTAGCTCAGAAGTAAGAGACAGGTAGCCTCTGAAAAGTCCACAGCCTCGTTGAAAAGAAGCTGCTGTTCGCAGGTCACAAAAGATTCCTTCTTGAAAATGCTTCCTGTGAAAAGATGGCAAACAAGCCAAAGGATTGAAATCACTTTATTATTAATATTATAATGCAGTCTGAAACGTACAGCTACTTTATCAAAAAGGTTCCCACTACATTTACTGCATCCAAAGCACCTCATCACAACATATGAATTGGGTTTCAAGCCAAGTGCAGTTTTGTCGTATGGCTGAATAGAACTTGTGTCACTGCAGATGGCTTACAGTTCCCAACAGAGAACTGAATGTTTGCACAATATACTAACATGATAGAGGCCCCTGACAATAAAAGAAGATGATATTGAGTACAGTTAACTCTCAGTAAACAGAAATTAAAACACTTGACTAAAAGGTCTTCCCACTTAACCATATAACTGCCTATTTAACTTCCCAATGTTTAACAAAAATCGTTAAAATTTTACAATATACAACATGATGTTTATGCGATTCTGATTTTCCAATTATTATTACGCTCATTTGTGGAATTCGCAAAAAAATTTAAAACGAAAACTGCTTTTGAAAGCGGCTTTTACTCAATGAATGAACTGGTAAAGGGTCACAGCACACTGAAACCTGAAGCGTTTTCCTTATGCAATACATGGTAACACACTGAAAAGTGCTAAGATGTTTATTGAGCAAGTGGTCGGTTATCAGCGTTCACGCAATGCCACACATGTGCACTGATCACGACATCACAGCACTGATCACGACAGTTCGGGGTTGGTGGCTTAAAGGGGCCCTGAAACACTTTTTGAAAATGGTCTCAAAACGCTGCTGATTCTCGACAACACGCGATCTAAGTAATATAGCTTGGCACAAGGCATGCAATTCACAATAAATTATCAAATTTAGCTAAACATTGCTCTCTCTCTTCAGCAAATGATGAAGCAAGCAAAAAAGCACTCATAGAAGGCCTTCTACAAGACATTGAGGGAATTGAACATGGCGTGCTCGGTCATTACAGCGATCGCCGCGGGAGGCTGTGGCTTGTCCACGTGTGCACATGCGATCCTACTGAAAAAGCTGCGGTTAAAAAAAGCAGTTCTCAATATCACAAGGCGTGAGTGGCGTATTTTTATTCAGCACTCCACCCCCCACCCCCCTGCTTAGCTTCCAGCGCTTTTGTCAGGACGAGAGAAGAGAGAATGCAATTTCAGAGTGCGTCAAACTTTTGTTATTGCGCTCGTACAAGAAGGACTCTTGAAATTCTTGCGGCATTGAATTCATGAAACAATAAAATCTTTTCAAGAATCCGTATCATGGTTACTTCGAAAAAGTGTTTCAAGGCCCTTTCATGTGTGGCTTGAAGAAGGACTAATTATACTGATTACATCAACTGACTGGTGAAGATACTTATCTCTTAAATTTCAGAAATGCTGCTAAGCAGAATACAGACTCCCTGCCTCAGCAGCAATGAAACTGATTTTATTAAGTTAGGGCTGTAACTCTGCCACAACCACGTTTGAAAGATGACGAAGGGCTAATACAATGTGCAGCACATTCCCTTGCATTACCACAGCTAAGCTTGCAACAATATACCTATCGGAAAACAGTGATCAAGTCTTCCTGCAGTCATAGCAGCAGCTGTTTTCTTGTGAGTGCAGCAAGCTGCGCAGGAGATTCAAAAATCTCTTTTATTACTCACTTCTGAACACTGAACAGTGCTTAGAGAGATGATTGATGAAGGTTCTTGCATGACTTTAGAGATTTATGTGAAAAGCATCTCTCCTTTTTGATAACTTGCATTGAAAGGCTGTACAGTGACAGATGCCCACCACAGATTTAGTTTAGATGCCTGTTATTTGCATAGCTGCATAGAAACAAATTTTGACAGAGATAGTGTCAAAAGTCACATCTTTAAATAAGCTGTCTTATTTGGACACGTGGTTTGCTGCAGATGGGTGGCACACAGTAGTTAAGTGCACACAAATTCAATACGGTTTGGTAATGCGAATTGGTCCACCTTCTCCTCATGTTGACAACTTGCAGCAGACAATGTGTTTTGTTGTCGTTTCAGCCAAGTCTTCTCACTTAAGCTAGCCAAGGTGATAGAATGAATGTGCAGGCTGCTTGTGGTTATCACTGACAGGGTTTTCCACCACGAGAGCGCAATAAAAGCTGTACTCACAAGTTGATAAAGATAAAAACAAAAAGTACTTGTTCAATACACAAGACAAAAACATTTCTTACGCACAGCCAGCAGAAACCCTAACCAAAGGAAAGACACTCTTGTACATGGTCAGAAAAAGGAGCACAATATAATCTTTCCTTACATCACAATCATTCCTGCCCTCCTTACTATAAAGGGAGCAGATGTGGTGATAACATGTGAGGCAAATTCAATGCAAGTTAGGCTACATAATTATTCGGACATATATAGCAGTGCAATGAAAGCTCATATTTGAACATACCAAGTGCAATAATAGCAGGGGTGTGTGGCAGTTCAAGGAGTTTTTCTGCGATGCTGGTTCCTTCCTGGAAAATAAAGAGGAATACACTTGACCAATGTTAGGAGCACGTTTCCTCAAAAACGCATCTCAACATTTTGGACATTCCACTTGAGCAGATATAAAGGCGAAGTTGCTTATGCCCATCTTATATATTTGTTCCTGCTGTGAAACAAACGGCATTATGAACAGGTAAATTTACAACAAAATCAGCGCAAATCCTACTGCTCGCTGCTTCGTCTCATTTCATATAAGTGAGGTGTAGTCGTGCGCTGATGTACCAGTGGGCTCATACCCCCCCCCCTTTTTTTTTTGAATGACCCAACAGTACAAAAACGTCAAATCCACCCCTCAGCGCGCTGCGATTTATTGGTTATGACGAAACAGTCATCGCGTCAGGGACGGTCGGCTAAGTTGGGTGGGTGGTGTTTTCAAACCAGAGGTATCTTCATTCTTCCATTTGTTTGTCATTCCACTGAGTGCAGAAGTGCACCTTATCATGACTGGAGACTGGCAGCGCAACCATCGGCTGAGGTCTCTCGAGCGGTGCTCGTTGACGAAAACGTTATGGGCTTCCCACAAGAGCGCGGGAACACTCCCACGTGCACTGCAAAGAACGCGTACCAGAGTCCCAGTGACACGCGGTACGCGTCGCACACGAACACTGTGACACGCAGTAGGCGTTCCAAGAGAAGCGCGTGCACGGACATAGGGAGATAAAATGCGGGTCGAATGTTTTATATGCAAGGAAGCTGCCACGTAGCGTTCACCGCATCAAACGCTTGACAGTCTCAGTGGCACCATCGCAGTCACGAGTTGAACTCGGGCCTTCTCAGAATCAACGAGTTTGTATCCTAGTTCACTCATCCATCAGTTTGATTGACAGAAGCCCGCGGCGAGTATCGAAGTCCGCCCACCACTTTTGCTTTTGCCAAGAAGCAGTGCTCAGGCCGCAACGCCAACGAGCGCATGGTTCATCTACCAGCTTTACTGCACAGACTATGGACACACGCACGCAGAAGTAAAAGAAGCCATGTAACTACTATAAGGGAGGTATAGAATAGCGCACCGCGAGCCCTTGCGGTGCAGTAGCTGCCACTGCACATGCGTTGCAACGTGAGCCGCCGTTTGCGTTCGCGGCCCGCATGCAGAAAATCCGAAATACCACGCGGCGACCGTGACCCGTGAAGCCCGCGAATTGCTGTGTGCAGCTACCGGCATTTGGGTTTGCGGTCGGAGTGAAAGTTTCCTCAGGAAGAGCAAACGCGATTCTGAAACTCATATGGCGCCCGCAACTAAAGCAGCGCCCGCAGCACCTGCAAACGTTATTTTAAACCGCCCTATGATCTCATACTCTATTTAACCACGCTCACGACATACCAATCACAGCCGCGTTGCCGACAAGATGCGAGCACGCCTGGTGACCACTTGTCCTTATTTTATCCGTAATACTTCATGGAACCGAAAGAATTAGCACGAGAGCGTTGCGTGAGCAGCCTTGTTGCCTTCGAGAGTGAAAATTTCCATGCTGCAGGTGGAGCGAAAGAACCTGTGCGAAAAAGGACATACGCCCAAAAAACACGTCTGTGGGAGGCGCGTATTGAGTTGGCAAAAATACAGCACGACAATGACGCTAACATCGCTGCGCTGCTAAAATGGTGAGTGAGTAGTGGCGCTGACATGCTCGCGTGCTGACGTGCTCGCACGCGGTGTTTCATTGATAACTACCGAAAATGCCCCACATGTGTTTCAAACGCCACGCGCTTTTCTGTAACCATTTCTATTAACACGGCTATCACGCGCTCCGCACTGTCATCGTGCCACAGCTACCGCAAGCGAGCTCGGAGCAAACTCGGCTGCCCGAGAAGCTCAGGCCATGCTGCATTGCAACCCAGGCCAAAGAAATCGGTGCTCGCGTTCTGGGACGCGAAGCAGACCCATGGTGATCCTTTCCGTTCTCCGATTGATTAATCACGGCGAGTTTCAACAGCTATGCTGTTCAGTGTATTTAATAAAGAAAAAAGGGGGGACACGCAGACGGATGAGCATTAACAACATTTTATGCACCAGTATTCGCCTGTGAACAGATGTGATTGCGCAACCGAAGGGAATTAGAGGGTGAGGAGGGATTGTCTATCTTGTTGAGAAACGGGATGGACAAGTTTGAGGGCAAACAAATATCATCGTTCACACCACACTAACCATCGCGTGACCGCACATTGCAATACGTGGATGCTATAGCAAAAACTTACTGATAAAAAAAACAAAGAGGATGCTAGGTAGAGCAAAAAAAAATACATTTTATCCCCGAAAAGTGCCAGCACTTACTCGCTCTGCATGGACGAATACGGAGTCTTTCAAAACGAAACACAGTGCTGTAAACAAAAAGCAACGACCACTTGCTATTAGCCGATTGGTCCTATCAGGATTGAACCTTTTCTGAACGTCTCAGTGTGCTTCCATGGTGCACACCACAATAGCAGTCGTAAGTTCAGACGAGGAGCTACACACACAAACACACACACACACACACACACACACAAAAAAAAAAGCTCATTACAATCGGAGAACATTTTAGTACAAGGCAGTGGTCGGATCAGAACGGGTTGTCAGGTCGGAGATGACGCCACCCACTTTTACACCTTTAATTATCTACCTGAAGACATCACACACAAAAACTCGAGGAAATATGAGACAGCACTTAGGAGACAAAAACACACACACACACACAAGGCGTTTTACACCAGAAATTTTCACAACGGGGTGGCGTGAAACCCATTATTGATACAAACAAACAAGCAAACAAACGCCTTTTGTTTGATACAAACAAGCAAACAAACACTACCTCCTGTAACAACTGCTGCATTTTGTTTTTGGTATGCATCACCGCATGACAATTTATTTATTGCAGCGGAGTTGACTTGTGTTGCCCTTTCTCTACAAAATGGCTAAAAAACTGTTGGGTTTCCCATGGCATATGCACGCAGAAATATTTTTTCAAAGCTCACGCATTTCAAACCCAAACGTAGCTAGAAACAGGTGTAATTTGGGAGCAGACCACTCAACTCATTTGCAAGCTGCTAAGATCGAATTGGCAACCTGAATTAATCCATACCAAAGAGAAAGAAAAGCCACCTATTTGACGCAGCATGTTGTGTTAGTTTAGGACCTTTCAATCACTGCAATGGGTCCTCATCACTTCGACCGGTTCACCAGGGCTCCAGGAAATATTCCGTGACTATGTGCACTGCCAGCGAAGCATTCAAATGTAACACGTGAACATATAGGTCGAGGCATTTAGCCACATGTAACAACGGACAGTATAATAGGCGGGCGCACGAGGGGCTCAAAGTCAGCCCCATACATAGACGTATAATGGGGAAGGCGGGGGCACTGCGACAAACCTCCCTCCTTCCCTGAAGCAGAAGCTGCACACCTATAGATATAGCAACACGTACGTTTTTCGGCAAAATCCCTTTTGGCATTGCATAAGTGGTTGCCAGACTGGTAGGGTCAGTGTTGCCAGACTGCCGCTAAATTTGACGGCAAATTTTTTTTGGTAGTTGTGGCTTCTTCGTGAGAATTCGGTGCCATCCACGGTGCGTTTCGCGAAGGAGCGACGCTGGCCGTTTTAATTAACGGAATGAACCGTGCCTAGCAGAAGTCGAGTGCGGCGCTGCCGTGCAAAGAAGAGGCGAATTAAATTAACGGAATGAACCGCGCCTAGCAGAAGTAAAGCGCGGCGCTGCCGAGCAATTAGGAGGCCGTTTTAATTAACGGAATGAACTGCGCATTACAGAATTCGTTTTAATAATCGGAATGACTCGCGCCTAGCAGAAGTTGAGCGCGGCGCTGCTGTGCATTAAGAGGTCGTTTTAATTAACGGAATGACATAGCAGAAGTGCGGTTCATTTCGATAATTAAATTGGCCTCCTATTTGTACGGCAGCGCCGCGCTATACTTCTGCTAGGCTCGGTTCATTCCGTTAATTAAAATGAATTCTGTAATGCGCGGTTCATTTCGATAATTAAAACGGCCTCTTAATTGCACGGCAGCACCACGCTCGACTTCTGCTAGGCTCGGTTCATTCTGTTAATTAAAACGGCCAGCGTCGCTCATGCACTCGTGAAATGCACCACGGATGGCACCAAACTCTTACGGAGAAGCCACAACTACAAGAGAACATTTTAGCCAAATTTAGCAGCAGTCTGGCAACAACCACCCCAAAGTCTGGCAACTTACTTATGCGACGCCAAATGGAACCTTGCCCATTTTACTCAAGAAACACGTGTTTACGTCACTCAATGCATAGCGCCAGCTTGAGCTCATGAACCCTGACCATTCTCAGCACAACACAAATACACAACGATGAGCCCATGCGACACGTTCAACTCAAACGTTAACAACCACCAAAATGAAAAGTTAAGCGCTCAACGGGTGACAATGTACGGTTTGGAATGGTTGTTGCCCAAAAGATAAACCTCCTAGTGCCGCTCTGGTCAGAGCAGTAAACCATTTGGCAACAGGAACCTTATTTCACGCCATTGTACCACGGGCGTTATGCTCTTAATAAAGATTATACGCTTCGCTGATTCGTTGCTAACTGATCGGGAGTGCTGCGCCCCTAGCCTTACTTAAATCGCATATACGTTTCGCGTGCCTGTTATGTGGAATAAAAATAGCAAAAGCCAAAGTGAAGCACACGTACCTGCGATAAAATTCCCAGCGAGCCCTGTGCTGACGATCGTCAATTGTCGTCGCAGTCTCTTGCTTGAAAAATATGTTGACGAAGACCAACACTCGAACGGATCGGACCGTGCGCCGAGGGGAGTCTGCACAACACGACCGAGACGAAAGGCGGGAAACGTTGATCACGTGACTTGAACTCCGCCGCGACGCCCACGCGAAACGTCTAATCCAGCTCCGGCGCCCAGTTGTTGAATCGCTTGAAGTGGCAGTGCGCTGCCGCAAACGCGCGTTTTGCGCATGAGGGGAATATAGTTCGGGGCAGAGCGTGTACTACCGCGCGGGGAAGGTGTTATCTCTGCGACAACCTTTGCACCTTGACACCATCCTGCCGTAAGCTTGGTAGGCGTCATTATTACGTCGCGCTGTACGGCAACCGCTCCTTTCGTCAACTGCTTTAAGTACTCATTTTTTAGATGCGGAGCATCTTATACTCGCGCCTTGTAGTGCGCCGTCCGCGCCGTCCGCACCGCTTCTCGAACATTCGACAGCTGACGCGCGCGCATGCGCCGTCGCGCCGTCGCCCACTCTTCCACCATCTGTGCATCCCTTCCTCCTCTACACACCGCGCGCGCTTCACTCCTCCACCATCTGTGCACCCTTCCTCCTCTTACACACCGCGTTCGACATCTACAATTCTCCTGATTCTCCAGTGGACGCGCATGTGGCGTCGCGCTTCGAGAACATTCAACAGCTGACAGTGCATGCGCCGTCGTGCTGTATATATACTCAAGGTCGGCGCTCGCTCGCTCAGTTGCCGCTCGTCGGTTGGTTTGTACGGCGCGTCGACGTCCAAGGTCGCGGTGAAATGAATTCCAACGAATCCACAAACACAATGATCGACGTCCCTTCGACCAGCGCCGCCCTTTCGCATACGTGTGTACGTGTTCACTCATTTAACACCCCCTCCTACAACCATGTTAACCAATTTAGCCATCGACCCAAGTAAGTCGCAATTTAACACCCCATTTCACAACCACGTTAACCAATTTAGACATCGACCCAAGTAAGTCGCCACTTTAACACCCCGTTAACCAATTATATGGTCCGCATCCTCCTCAGTGTTCCCCCGAGGGAAGCTGCGGGCAATTTTTCGCAGGGTCTGAAATGCATGGAATCTGTTGGAAACGTTAGAAACGTTTCCATTCAGGTTTCCAACGATTCATGTCCAACGATGTGGTGTTGCAGCCATCCTGAATTGATTCATCTCCCGTATTGTGCAACTAGGTTATTTTACTTTTCGTTGTGTTGATAACTGTATTTTAAGTGTTGCTTCAATTTTATATATATCTGCCTAGATTTTGTATCACCCATAGTTTCTTTTTTGTTTTGTTCGCCCTGCTAGTTGTATCAAATATTTGTATTCCATCCTGCGAAAATTCCTTAATGGGGTTGCAGTAAGTTAAAATAAATAAATAAGTAAATAATAATCAATCGAGCTTACTCAACACTTCCAGAAACAAGTCGGACGAAAAAAGAGTGCACATCTTACAATTTTTGAAACGGTGTTTAATTGCAATTAGGTGTTTTGTAATACTAAAGACAGGAAAACGTCAGTGCAGTACGTGCTTCCAATTTTGCTACTTCCGGTAGGCGAGACCGTGAGGCGCGAATGCCCGCGACAGAACTGCAATTACCAGAATGCTAGGCGATTGCGTTGTTTATCACATTGAACTTTTTTTTGTTGTCACGGGTCTTTACGATTGATTTTGCATAGCAATGCGTACATCTGTCGCCAACACACTGTAGATCGTTTCTCATTCTTCATATACGCATCCAACTGTTTAACTTTTACTATTTATTTATATTTATTGGTTCCATTATTTTTGCTGTACAAGATCGCTAAGTCAAACTGCCTTTTTTATAAGCGCAGCGACGTTATAGTCGCACAACATCGACGCTGGCTGCGGCGGCCACACTGAATTTCGTCTCGATAGAGGCGCTTGTGTAGTGCGCAATGTCAGTGTGCGTGGCAGAACACCAGATGGACTGAATTTACGAAGCCGTTCACTACGGCGTGACTCAGAGTCATACCGTGGTCCCATGGACAGTCTTCCTGATTATGACTAAACTTATACGCGCAGGTTTTTGGCTCACAACAGTGACTTCGAAGTTATTTTTACGAAAAACTTATTGTTGATCGAAAAAAAAATGTATAGAAATTGTGCCCACATAAACAAACAGCAATGAACACTTTACTTCCAAGTTCTCAAATTCTGAACTTGGAGAGGGCCCTGACGAAATAGGATACAGTTCTTAATCACGATAATTATTTCCTTGACAGAAAAAGTGAAAATCTCTATTCATTTTGTTTTCCTTTGCTACCAAACAAGATAACCAGTAAAGTACAGTAAACTTTCAAAAATACTATACTCATAAGATATAAGCCCGTACAACAAGCTTTTAACCGTTAATAAATGAGTAACATGAGCGAGAGCAATTAGTTCATTCGACTTTGAAGTTCGGCTTAGCGGCAGCGCTGAATAGGGTTGGTTGTAGGTGTTCTCTTGGCATAACATTCTTACGCTGCAATGAAACCACTTTCACAAAGAATTCTAATATACGCATATTTATCTCTCGGAATACTGTGACATTCTTTTGAGTATTCCTTGTGCACGAATAATTGCACATGTCTACTTCGCTGAAGTAATACACGCAGACAGTCTGGCAGTATGTCAGGACGACAGCTTAATATAATTTACTTCACTGCTCTCGAGCGTGACATATTAAGTTAAATTCGTTGTATTGTGTCGCGCATCGTATGCGCATCGTCTGCGTTCTGCTCACGGTCTAAACTGTGCGATTAGGGAAAATATCAATTTGGACTTTATACGGAACATGACTGTGACGGTGGCGCTGGTGGCAAGTACACGTCAAGATTGGTCATATAATTGTTATTGCAACAAAAGTAGCCTGTAATAGTCTTTGGTTGGAAAATACCTTTACAGTGCAACCAATCTAACCAAATTTCAAAATTACCCACTACAACCAATATGTCCGTGTTTGAATATACAGCATGTGTCTGTTGCCCTTTGCGGCTATTAACATCGTGTTTCCATAAAATGACAGGTATCCGTGAGTATTACACCAGTATTGCCGTGCGTTTCAAGGACAGTTTTTACATTGTAGAGAAGCACATCGAGTGGAGGAGTTTGCCACCGATTGGCCACCTGTGATCCCGGATGCACTAAAGCATCGTTCGAGTGTGACTCTAGCACGGCAGTAAGAACTATGCCCAGGGTATAGTATGTATTGAGGCCGCGCGTATACTAGGCAACGTCGAAGATAGCGGACGCTAAAGTGCAGTGATAATCAAGTGGTTTCCAATAAAAACGGGCACTGACATAATTAAACGCGGGAGCGCGAACCGAAACGAGACGGCCAAAGCGGCAGCGTAACCACTAACCTACCACGCGGCTGCAAACACGGCCCACTCTGAGTGTTCGTCGTGGTACAGTGGCAAGGGCGAGATGAGCGCCTTAAGCGAAATAGTGAAATGGTACAAACGAACTGACAGACTATGCCGCCACCTCACGGGGGGCTTACCCGGAAAGAAGCGGCGCTATGCAGTCAATTACAGACGGGTTCCCTGCTCAGACCTGTGCTAGCTAATTACGTGTGTCTGAGTGTGCACACGAGTAACATGAGCAGAGTATGTGTGAAGGAGAGAGCTACCGCAGCTTACGTCTTTAAAACTACGGCAAAAATCCGAAAGACATCGAAGAAAACAAAACGATCATGCCGCACCTGAAACTACAACGAAGAGTTACGACCAAGATTTGCAAATCAAGACCGTCCTGCATGTCTTGGTACCTCTAGAAAAGCCGCGGCCGAGTGAACACGAGAACAAGAGGGGCAGCACCCCCCTGAAGAAGGTGGCGGCATCTGGACTTCACGGAAGTGTATATTTATTTAGAAAATACTGCGGTCACTGAAGACCAGGAAGTTCAAGAACATTGCTATAAACAATATATACAAACATCAAGAAAAACTATTGCAATAAACAAATTTGCAAGAATACAAAAATACGTGATACAACAATTGTAACAAAAATATAACAACCGATATATAAGAATAAATATTGGCAGAAATGGAGTGCTGTATTAAAGAACAAAAAACTTAATATATACATATGCACTGCGAAATATATACACATGAAAACACCTGCAGTATTGCAAACACTAAGGATTAAAAATCTGAAGGAGTGATGTTGCATGACGACAAAGCATAGACAGTAAAATAGGAACTAGAAATATAGAGAAGGTGCACCTATGTCATGGTTTGGATGCTCCGAGCAACGGTTTCTCGAAGTCATCAGATGACACGACATCAGGTGTTTGTCCGAGTGGAGTATGGTAGCGGGTTATGCATATGACCATGCCTAGATGCACAAGGAGAAAATGGTTGTATGTATTTGTGGGCAAGAATACTCAGCTTACCATTATAAATGGAATGAGAAAGTTTCAGGTGTGTGATTCTTCGGCGTTTTTCTAGCACAGGGATGTCGCTGTCTTTCATTAATTTTGTGGGAGAATCAGATGATTTACCCTTAGAAATAAACAAGACGTACAGCGCGTCTTCCAACCATTTAAAGTTTTTGAATAATATTTTTTGTAAAAAGGTTCGCGAACCACGGATGCATATTCAAGTTTGGTCAAAATATACGCTTTGTATGCGAGCATTTTTAATTTCGTAAGGGCTTTTTTTATTGTGTGCCTCAGAAAACCAAGCTTACGAGAAGTTGATGCGCAGACATTTGTTATATGTGCGCACCAAGAAAATGTGTTAGAAATGATAACTCCTAGGTATTTATATCCATTTACTTCCCGTTGATTGATTTTGATTTTGTGGGGCTTAACGTCCCAAAACTACCATTAGATTATGAGAGACGCTGTAGTGGAGCGCTCCGGAAATTTTGACCACCTGGGGTTCTTTAACGTGTACCCAAATCTGAGTACACGGGCCTACAACATTTCCGCCTCCATCGGAAATGCAGCCGCCGCAGCCGGGATTTGAACCCGCGACCTGCGGGTCAGCAGCCGAGTACCTTAGCCACTAGACCACCACGGCGGGGCATTTTACTTCCCGTACTTGCGTTCTTTGGACGTGGTAGGTAAACGTGAACGGCTGTTTCTTTTTTGTCCCAAGTAGGAGTATTGTTTTGTCGGGGTTTATTGTGATTCAGGACCGAGTA